TTAGTTGTGGCGTAATTCAAATTTTAATATGTTAGGATTTGCAATGATCGACGGGTGGTCGGATATTTTTTGGAGGGGAGTGTATATGGTTATTTTAAATTAAAAATTTAAATGAATTAACTCTGAAAAAAACATAATTGATTTTACTTAAACTGAAAATAATCAATCACTTCCTATTAACTGTACGATCAAGCAAACAAATTAGCACACTCTTATTGCAAGATGCTAATTGCTATTTATATTGTAAGTGGGAAATTCAGCAGATTTTCAGTATAAAGCACGTTTCTAATACAACATAAGCTTGGTCACCAAAACTTGGTGCATCGCCTCCTCCAAAATATAGATAATCTTTTAATCAGTTCATCAAATATTTAAACTTTTTTATTTGTAAACAATGCAATGCATAATGTATTGTATTACACCAATTATCAAAAAGTTTACTAGATTATTCGTTGAAAAGTTTCATGATATAGATATGTGAAAATTCCGAAAAAAATTTAAGTGAAGCATATAATATGAGTGACTTAATTCATTTGATTTTTCAAAATAAAACCATCGGTCAACATTAAAGAAATTCTCTGGTCATCTGTTAAGCATTACTTTAATTTGGAACGTTTTATTAAAATCACGTTACGGATCATATTATGATTACAGTATATTCTAAATTTTAAGACTATTATTAGCATTATATAAAAAACGGAGTAATTACGAATGCTCTGTACACCCAGTATACTACAATAGAAAATCAATCAATTTTTTACAAAAATTAATTATTTTCACTACTACAAGCACACAAGGTGCAAAGATAGACCAAAATGACTGTCCCTGAATGTTTGGTAATGATGGTGATGGTAGTTGTTGTCGTTGCCGCTGTCTCCAGCAGCGTGACCTTCTTTCCCTTGATCATCTGGTCTACTGCCGCCACCAACCACGATTGCTAGCGGGATGAGCTAGCGCTCTCATTCTGCTTCTTAATTACTCTATTTTCATAAAAAAATTTACAAAAAGTTAACATTTTTTTATTTTGCTGAGTCGTGTCCATTTAAAAATAACAAGGACATAATAAGTTTAAAATGAATTTCCAATTTATTATTTCATACGATTAAGTACCTATATACACACTAAATAACAAAAATTATTTATTTAGAAAAAAAAAGAAAAAATATTTTTTTCTGTCTAAAATCAAGAGTATATGGTTAAATTCAATTTGTAATTACTGTTATCTCGTTATACGGTTATTTATCCATTGATTATTCCATAAACAGATGTGTTGCCTGACTTATGAATTTCTTTTTTCTTTTTTTTTTGTACGCAAATTTAATTAATAAGCTAGGATAGTTTTAATAAATCTTTTTATTTTACTTTTTATTAATATTTCAGGTCTTGAAAATTTTTTTTTTACTTACAATTTATGGTTTTTTTTTTTACAAGAAGCAATTGATTTCAATTAAAATGTAAAAAAGTATGTCATAAACCAGTATGAATTTTATCTTAATATAGAATCTCCTCACATTGAACTAACTTACTTAACTTTAAAGGCGTTCCAACAACTCGAGAGTGACAATATATTCTGTAACATCACGAAAATACTCCTAAGTTGGAGGACGTCAAATTTCTTCAAATAAAGAAATATAACATGGATATCATAAATTAAATTAGAAGGCAACAATTTATATTTTCTAGTATATATTAACGCAGCAATAAAAAACTGGCCTAACTGAAAAAATTCTTTGTAAAATGTTGTGCGTCGTCAGATGTCGACGTTACACGAAAATGTTTGTGATTAAAACTAGCTTACTATATATAGGATTAAAATATAAATATTTTAGGAAAAAATTTTCTTTCCCAGTAATTTTCAAATAAAAAAAAAATAAAAAAATGCTGGCACAATTATTTCCCAAATTAAGTCAAAATTATATTGAAATATTAGATGATAATGAATATTATGATACAATTATTGAAGTTGGTGAAGACCCAAATGTAAAAATATTTCATGCACACATGATTATTTTAAATTACCGTTCTCCATTTTTACGAACTCTGGCCTCAAATAATGATGAAAAGCTAGCTCACATTAGATTACCAAACATTTCTCCAGAAATTTTTCAAATTATTTTGAAGTAAGTAATATTTAACCGTTAATTTTTTCTTAGATTTTATGTTTACTATAGATTTAAATATATATGATGTAGGTACATTTATGGCGGCGTTATTTCATTAAATGATGATGAACAAGTCATTTCAGATATCTTAAAGACATTGGTGACTGCTGACAAACTTCATCTTCAAGAATTAATTGAATATTTACAAACATATTTAATCGAAAATCAACCTGAATGGATGGAACATTTTGAACTCATTCATAAAACAAGTTTTCAATTTAATTCTTTGTTAAAGCTTCAAAAGTTTTGTACAGATTTTATGGCTAAATCACCTGCAAATATTTTCAAATATACTTCACTTCCCGAAAACATATTAATTTCACTTATTACAAGAGACGACTTACAGATGAAGGAAGTTGAACTTTGGAATCATGTATTAAAATGGGGTCTTAAAAAAAATCCTACACTCGTTCATGATCCTATAACTTGGTCAGATGAACATTTCCAAGTAATGGAAAATACTTTGCAACATTGTTTACCATTAATCAGATTTTATAGTTTATCTTCTGACGAGTTTGTCAAAAACGTACGTCCGTATAAAAAACTTATAAAACCTCAACTCTATGAGAATTTAATAAATTCTTATTTGGATTCTGATAGTGAACCAAGCGATAATATTTTATTCCCTAGAATTAGAAACGTCGATGGAATTATTGATACAAAAATTGTTAATTTAAATATTGTCTCCATAATTTCAAGATGGATTGATAAGGTGGAAATTAAAAGCAAATTTGCTCATTTAAGAGAATTTTATTTACCATATAAATTTAAATTATTAATAAGAGGAAGTAGAGATGGACTTGCTCTTCAAAAGTTTCATAAATTATGTGACAATATACTTTGTACTGTTACATTCATTAAAGTAAAAGGAACGAAAGAAATTCTTGGAGGGTATAATCCTTTTATATGGAAGGATCCCAATAACCAAGAAGATAAATATGGTCAAACTAAAGATAGTTTTATATTTTCTTTTAAGAGTAAAGATAATTTAAAGGATTCAATTTTAAGCAACGTAAAAAATGTGAATCATGCATTATTATATAATGATGGTCCCTCATTTAGTAAGGATCTTTGTTTAAATGGTAGTTCTTTTTTTAGTAATAGTAATAATAAATGTTTTTGTAAACTAACGGATTATGAGAAAAGGATAAGAGATAAAGGAGATTTCTTTATAGAAGATTATGAAGTATTTCAAATTTTAAAGAATGAGACCTAATAATTTGTTAATCGAATTACGAAATCTTCAAACATTTATATCAAAAATACAGTATTATACATTAAATTGAATAAAATTAACATATTAAAAAAATTAAATATTTTTATTACTTTTGATGGTAAAACAAAATATGAATATAAAGTTTATACGCATATATTTTGTGTATATCACACTTTCTTTAAATGTAGATTTACTTTTTATCTTCTCAATAGAAGATAATTTAAACGTCTTGAAATCAATAAAGGAAAGCTAAAGTTTAATTCTTTTTTAAATAATATATTCAATGTCATAATGATTATCAATATCTGAATCATAATGAGCTTTCTAATCTTTTGAAACCCTTTATCAATATATCTCCTTGATAATGTTATCGGCGTTTCTCTATGCTGGGCTGGATTAAAAGTGTATAAATATCCTTAAAAATACCATTTGACGATTCAGATTTGCTATAAACGGTTAGCATTAAATGAAATAATGACCTTTTCTTAAAAATTGAAAGCCATTCAATATTAATAAAAATGTCATAATTATTGTTAAATGCAAACATTTATTAAAAAATAAATCACAAAATACTGTATATATAAAGGAAATAATTCGATAATCTATTCATTATTGACCGAATATCAAAATAAAAAACTTAAGTATTTTGCATTTTTGGGGAATTAGATGAGGAAAAATTCAGTTAGTAAATGTATTATTTAAACTGAATTTAAATAAACCAATTAAACCGAGTATTCGGTTAAAATAAAACCGAAAATCAAATTGCGTTAAGTTTTATAATATTACAAAATAAATTTTTCTTTGATGTTTATTTAATTTTATTAAAAGAATAAACATAAAGTTAATTGCATGTTTAAAAATGACAAAGATTTAAAATAAACAAATCCGGAGATAATCGAGTGTATTTTGCTGAAATATTTATAATTACCTGAGTCTGAAAATGTTTCGCTAAGTACAGAAGTTGCAGGAATGGATAGATATTTTTTAGCAATTTGAGATAAATATAAAGATGTTTATTTTCTCACCACTCCACTTTAAAGAATGTAATAACAATTTAATTATATTAACTTCATTCCAAATGGCTTTATCTTCAAAAATAATCATAAGGAACACCTATACTTTCATCGGTGCTTCAACACTATTTTCTTGAATTAATATACGAACAATTTACTAAAAAATCTTTTTACCACTTCACGAATTTCATTAAGGATTTCTCTCTGAATCTCATTAAGGATACTACTGGCAGCCAAGAAATTTTTTGGCCATTTGGCCGTGGTCAATGGCCAAACAGCCAAATAATTAGCTTATTAGAATTTTTTAGCCATTTTTGCGGGCCAAATTGGCCAAATGACCAGCACTGCTTTACGGATCTCTTCACGTATATTTTTTATAAATTGTGTTAATTTCCTCGGTATCTTGAAGATCTGGATTAAAATTTATTATTTTTCTATTAGAATTAACATGCGAAACGATTTGAAAAAAAAAATTAAATAATTACTAGTAACAAAAGTTTTCGTTATCAACATCATGAGTTTTATCGTCAGTCATAATTGAATAATGCTGTGCTTGAGAATTCTTACCATTCTAATGACCCTCTAAGAGTTCAAATTAAAATCTGAAGTAGAGATTGGAATCGGTTAATTTACCAGTTAATGAATATTTTAACCGGTTATTAACTGGTTAAAAAATTTTTGGCTGGTTCCAACATCTAATCTGAAGATGGCACTCTGTTTTCATGACGAAATTTCTTCGAGATGGACCATAAAGATCAAGGAATTCGGACGCTTGCTCAGAAGTTGATTACATAACACATCGTTTTAATTGAACTTTTAAGCAAAATAATAATGTTGTGTTGTCAGATAAAATTCTCACAAAATGAAATACTCAACTCGTATTTGCCTACCTTTCCCAGATCGATTCTAGTTGTTGGCATCTTTGATATAACGCTATAGATATTATCCGCTTTTTTAGTTTTTGATCTGCAATAAAATTATAATATTATGTGAGTATGCATTATGAAAGACAGGGTGGGCGACTCTGTGTTGGAGTATTGATCGTAAAACTAATTTGAAGGCCAGGGAACGGTACCCACTAGGAACACCTTCCAAGTCACCAACATAGACCTGGAACATCGCGCACTCATACTCCGTGTGTTATCACGGGAACGGTACCCTCTCAGAACGTCTATGCTCTCTTTGTTGTACACATATCTTTTCAATTTTTTTTATCTATCACCATTTTCTTTACGCCGACCATAAATTTCTTTTTCCAAATAGAGTTTTGATAACTCCACGGTTGCGATTAATAACGCTTCGTTATTGGAGAAAAACTCGTTGTAGGACCATTTTTTTCTTCGAGATATACCTTTATTATTATCGATAAATCTGTACCTGCTTAGGCTTGATGAGAGATTCATTTTGATATCGTTTTAGGAACAAGTTGAAAAAAGAAAAATTTTGCAACGGTTTGATCAATCAGGTGATTAATATGATTTGAAAATCAGTTGAGACTTATATTAAATTAAAAAAAAAAATAATGTATAAAGCACTTGACCATTGTAATCTCGAATACTGGGTTCGAGTAAAACTAATGCCAAAAAAAAATAATAAAAAAAAAAAAATTTTTTTTTCTTTGAAATTATATTTATTGGTGAGTTATCGTGTTTTTCAAAATAAATTTTTCTCAGCCTTTTTCAAAATAGCCTTTTCATAATAATTTTAGCATAAATTTTTTTTAATATATTTGTTTAATATTTATTTAATTAATAAAAGTTAGATTTATTTCAATTATTGATAAGCCGGATAATTCAGTACGCGCGAATTTTATTTTTAAATAAAATTACAAATTAACGATATAAGGATAGCAATACTCCCATTTAGTAACATTTATCTGAGGTGAGCTGAAAGTAATTTACATAATTTGAACTTAGAAAATCTATAAAAGAAAATGAATTTATTAAAATAATATGTTTCTTTTATATTTTTTTTCACTACAGACCAGGTAGATCGATAAAACTTAATTAATGAATGGAGGCTGTTTCTCACTTACAGAGTATCTCTTTGAATTACCTACCTTCGTAAATCTTTAGCTGCCGTGGATCATGTCAGTTATTTTGATACTGCATTCTTTAGTCATGCTATATGGTTGTCCTCGTATTATTATTGTTAATATAAAGAGGAAGCCACGTATGATGTGCAACCTGAAGTAATGTTATCAATTAGGGCAAATGAGGTTGCAAGCCAATGACGAACAATTTGAGCATTTTTTGACAGAATAATTAATTTAGTAGTGTTGAAATAGATGATTCTCGATAAACTCTTTGACAACTCGTCATATAGGTATAATAATAGGATGTTCTTGGTAAGTGAAAAACATTTAGTGGCATTATGGGAGTTCAGAGCAGTTGATGTAGCACAGTTGCGAGCAAGACTGTCTACTTAATTATTAAAAAAATAGTTGGAGTATGCTTTGATTTTGATCAACATGACGTCAAGATGGTTGTATGAAATGACGTTGAACAGGCAAGCCCAGTGCATATATTTGTTGATTTTAATGAGTTAGTGATTGAAACAACAGATTTTGAAGTTATGAATTGAGAAATAACAACCGCTAAATCAGTAAAGATTTTAACAGTGCATCTTAGTAGGGAGTTAAAAGAGCAGTAAAATAGCTGCAAATTCAGGCAATGAAGCTGTCGCAAATGATGTAGCCAAAGATATCACAGGCGAATTTGGGTGAGTTTGCAACTATGCTATATCCATTCTTATAGAGAAAAGTCCAATATCCTGGAATGAACCATCAGAATAAATCTCTAAAATAGTTGAATTAGTGAAAGAAGATGAGATGTTTAATAACTGTGTGTTATAAGATAAAGAATATATTTATCTATTAAATTAGTAGTCACTGGGGAAGTGAAAGGCTGAGGAACCACTAAAATGTCAGAGTTAAAACAGAGAAATTTAGTCAGAACAAGTTTATGTAAGGGAAATACACAATATTCCTTTCAACTCAAGTGATTTTATCTAAAACAAAAGTATTATTGATTGTATTCTATCTAACAACAAAATTTCTCAAAGAAAGATGATTAAAATAGTCTTAAGATATAACTGTAATAAAGATTAAGTTTGAATACATTAGAAGATTAGAGATAATATCATTATTAAGAACAAGTACATATTCTATTATAGTAAACTATTTGAAAGTTCTGTAAAAACGTTTTATCTGCATAAGTAATTGTATAATAGTCATGTGAACATATAATTTTTATGATAACTGATTAATTATTCTAAATAAAGTATAGAGTATTTTCTTAGATCTTATAAGTATTTCTGTATGAATTAGAAATGATGTCTGAAATTAGATAAAATCTACTAATAATGAGATGATGTATATTATTCAGTATAGCTAAGAATATACTAAGGACTTTAGTATACATAATAATAATAAAAACTAATTATTAATCTTAGTATTATTAAAAAGCTAATAGATTAATAGAATTTGTATAACTATTTTTGAGTTGAGTTGTAAAGTTCTAAAGTAAAAAGAAGTTTTAAGAACATTTATTTCATTAATTATTTGAAAAAATGTTCTATATAAGTTGTTAATATAAAAAAATAAGATTGTAATAATAATATGAGTAAAAAGCCTAGTAGGTATTTGTTATAACAATTTTAATTTCCTTTTAAAAAAATTTAAATATAGTCACAATTTTTTATATTAAGAAACAGATGATTAGATAAGCTATAATCTATATTCTATTTGAAAAATAATAACTGTATTATAAATAAATATAAGCTACAAGTCAGTTAGTCTTTATTTTTTATAATAGTGATTACATTTTTTATTTGAGTATAAAATTAATTAGTAGTAAATGTGTGATTTGAAGATAATGAGATTCAGATACTCAGATATTATATGCTATTTTTAAGAATATATTTTCTAAGTTTTTAATTAGCATTATTATTTTAAATAATAAAAGGTTTTGAATGATAACAGTTAATTAAAAATTTAGATTTAGACTAGTTAACTTAAATATTATTAAATTTATAAAAACTATTAATAATTTTTGTAATGTTTAAAGATCTTAATAGAATCTAATGATCCAATTTTAATTTTATTAAGTAAATTTTTATCTCTATTTTATAATTTTGATGTTAATCAATTTGTAGATCTTTCTTTTGATTCTTATTTATTTTTTATTAATTCTAAATCCCCATTCTCTTAATTCTAATTCTTATTTTCTTCTTTAATAAATCTAATTTTCTAATTCCTATTCCTTCTTTTATGTTCTTAAATTATGATTTTATTTATTAATAATTTTTATTATTATATCATAATTTTATTATTATTTCCTTTTATTTCATTATTTTTTATTATATTTTTAACATTTTTCATTAATATTTTCCTATTATAAATTCTAATTTCTTCAATAATTTTTATTTCTAACTTCATATTCTTACTTTCTATTTCTTTTTTATGTTTTTTTTTTATTCACAATTTTTAAAGTTATTATATATCTTATTATGCATATTATTATGTATTCTTATGATATTATAATTTTCTATTTTTTGATATTTCATTACCTTTTTTAATAATTTTTATTTATTTCTTTCTGTTCTTTTATTTCATATATTAATTCTTTCTTTCCTTTTATGTTTAAGTATATTCATATTCTCTCTTTAATATTTTCACTATTTTCTTTTTAGTAATATAGATTACATAATAATTTTATAGTCTCAGTTTTATTAAATTCTTTTATTTAAATCTTTGTAAAATATTTATGCATATTCATAGATTTTTTTCTTTTCTTTTCTTATGTGTATTGTTTGAAGTTTACAATGCATATTTTAATATAAATAAATTTTTGCAATTGTGAAATAAGGTCAAATTTAAGTGTTTGATTATTAAAATTAAGATTACAAAATATTTTACTATGTTAATGAGCTTTACCTATTAATAAAAAATGTTTAAGCTAAATATTTTACAATAAAATAATATATTCTAACAAAGAAGTAGAAAATAGAAAGTATGAAGTTAAATTAATATGAAGAAAGACTAACTTTCTAATTTTTAGTATTTTAACTTATATTTAAATCCCAATAATAAAAGGAGAATACTTTTTATATTTTAATTTTTTGAGTGTATAATTTCTTAATCAAAAATATTTGAGAATAAAAAAAATTTGAATTTATTTATTAAAAACTTATATTATTCAAAAAAAACTTTTTACCATTCTTTTTATGGAAGACTGTATATTTTAGTTATTATACTATCTTCTAATTATTATATAATATTCTAACTATTATGTTACTTTCTAATTATAGTATCATATTTTAATTATTGTATTATATTCCAGATATTGTATTTTTTTTCAGTTATATTATGTATTACTTCTTAATTAAATTATATTATATATAAGTATTGCCTAACCACTGATCAAAATAGTTCAAATTAGCTAAAAATTAGATGGCTAATTTTAGGCTGATTTTGATACTATTTATAGCTAATTTTCCATATTTTCTGATGCTGATAGACGCTAATCGATTCCAATCAGATATAGCTTTTCAGCATCAATTCAAAACTTAAATTCAACTATAAATTAGCCTAAAATTGACCTTAATTTAGCAATAATTTAGATACTAATAGATGCTGATTGACTCCAATCAGATATAGTCATTTAAAACTTAAATTCAATCATAAATTAGCCTAAAATTGACCTTAATTCAGCATTATTTAGTATCAATTCAGAACTTAAATAACTATAAATTAGCCTAAAATTAATCTCAATTCAACATTATTCAGCATTAATTCAGAATTTAAATAATTATAAATCAGCCTAAAATTGGCCTTAATTTGATATCAATTCAAGTAAATA